GTGAATATATCATTATTATGTCTCCTGTGATAATTGGGTTCAAAAGAACATGCTTCACATTGAGAAAACTACAAGGTATGATGATGAAATAGAAGTAGACATGTACGTCTGGTTTGAAAGTGATTATATCAGCCCCGTTTGTTTCTTATTTTTCATTCATAAAAATGAAAAATATGATCGTTATCTATCACATCAAGCCATCAATTTTGAATTTCCATATCTTGTGTATGGCCCAATAACGGCTATATGTATGTATGTATATTTTTTTTTCACATTTTTCTATATCTTTTATCTTTTCATACTTTTTAAAGACATATTCTTAAAAAAAAAACACTTCTTGAAAAATTACTTTTCACACATTTATATAAATGCTCGATTTAATTTGAAGTTTAGATTAGATCGTCTTCTTGTATGGTTTAGTTTATACATGATTACATATGCACTTTGTCAAATAAAATATACAAATGAATTAATATTTCATGAATAGGAGTATGCATCGCACATGTTGCAATTTGTACATGATTTTTTACAACTTTGTGATGTATTTTTTATGAAATATTTCAATAATTTGCATATATATAGTGTTACGTTTTGCCCCCACATAGAGCACGCTTAGATACCACCTAAGATCTTCCATCCAAGTGGAGCTCCTGGGGCATCGCGCATGATCGCCTATCCGCGTCCCACCTCGTGTCACCTCATCCATTGATGACCTTGCTGAACCTCAGCAAACCTAGACCAAAGCAACCAGCCAGTCGTTCCAAGACAAGGTCCAAGGTCATTAGTCCCAGTGTCATTTCCTATGAGACGAGGCAAAGTATTAAGGACTGCAACTATGCTTAGTCCCTTGACCACTCGTAGTAGATGTTTATCCAACTTTAATCGCACTTTGTAAATTGCTTTAAGTTGTAAGGTGTGTTTGATCGATATCATTGAGGAAAGAATGTATTTTAAATAGTGATATGATGAGAAATTTGCAGTTAAAAAATAAGAAAAAGTTATTGATGTGATGGAAACTATTATTTTATTGGAAAATGTGTGGTTGAAAATAAATTATGAAATAATGTATTTTGAAAGAATGTGTATCAAATAGGGGCGTAGTTTCATTTCAATTGTAAAAGAACTTGATGTTTATAAATACTTATTGTGATTCCTCAGCTTTTAAACTTCAACTACTATTACTTAAAATTTTCTTACTTAAGCTACACTAGGAGGTCGTTAGTATTTGAGTTAAGTTTTTAAGTGTTCGGACCCCTACACTACACTAACAATTGTAATTTACTACTTTCACTAATCAATGAACAAGCTATTTTCAATGCATTCGAATATTTTATTGTGAAGCTTTCTTTAATAGTCTTTTGTTCCAAATCAACATTAGAATGCAAGGAAGGTAGTCTAGCAAGAGAAAATTACTGTCGCACAGTGCCATTTTATGATCTATAAAGATATGCGCCACGTGATAGTTGGCATCAGAGTTGTGGCTCATATACAAACTATCGGGTTATGTTTATGTCGTCGATACGCTTTATGTTCGATTACGTTTAAATTGTCCACCTCTAGCACAGTTCATAGTTTATGTTATGAAAAAATCAAACATTTTTCTAACTTAAACAAGTAAAACAATATTTTGATAATAAAAGAAGTTGGATAATGTTTTGGGAAATATTTTGTGCCTGTTTGGGTTTCATTATAATTTACTTATGATTTGAAGTAAAAGTAATTCAATAATTTTAACCACTCATTCACAAGTCACGATTACTATCCAATTATTAATCACCCGTCATAATTTCATTATATTTTTTCCCAAACAAACACTACTTTTTTAGGTTATATGAAAATTACCCTTGTTACGATATTAGGGTGATATCTAAACTCGAGCTATTGGATCCGTAAGTGTCGCAAGGCCCAATTCACACTGTATTCGAGCATCAGTTTACGCAATTATGTCAAAATGACTCCAGCGGGCAGTTGGAATAAAGACGAATGCAGAAACAGTAAGTCACTAGTTCTTTGCTGACAAATGTGAAGGAAACTTGCAGCAAATGAACTTTGCCATAATGTAGTACAAATATGAAAATGGAAATCCTAAATTTGGACCAATGGGAAATAATTTCTGCTAATTTGAAAACTATTAAAAGATCCTCAAGTCCTCAACTCAAACATAACAAGACTGCTTCGTTCTTGTCGTGGAGCTCAGAACTTCAACTTGTGCCGTTGCATCATAACCTTAGCTATATTATTCTTGTTTAGTTTCTTTCCGAGGAACTTCTTGTTTGTTGGACGTGTTCTTGATGCTCATTATAACGTGAACAACTATTTATGACTAAATTCTGAGCTAGTCCTGATATCATTGTAGGAAAAGATTTTTTGTTTAGTAGTGGGATTGATTATCTCTAAACATTTTCTAGTGATTATTACTAGATAATCGATTGTATACCAAAAGGTAGATATTATTGCTAGCTATACCTGTACGAGCAGGTCGTCCGCCAGCATCTGTTGTTGCAGCTCCACCTAAAGGTCTCACTTCTCAGTATGCAGCTTGGAAAAACACGAAGGACCAACCAATTTTTGGAATCTTTGAAAGCTGAAGGTGAAATGATTGTTGAATATCTGAGATCAAATGTTGGTCTGTCCAAACCACTTGCTCCACCACCAGTGATCCTATCATGTTTTCTGTTGAAGAAAAGCTTCATGTGACTTTAAAACAGGATGGTGGCATAGGGAACTTTTCATACAGGGCACCCTATCACTCCAAATACTCAACCAAGATAATGAACTCATCCAATTTCAGGTTCACCATCTCTCTTTTTTTCCTGACTGCCCTTGCTGCATATTTAAACTTGTTTGCTTGTAGTTGTGTTTATTATTATGATCAGTTTCTTTGCTCATATTCCGTTACTTTATGTACGAGCATTTTTTTTATTTATTTATGTTCAGACTGAAACTTGCTGCAATCTAGGAATTCTATTTAGTACAAACCCAATATCAATAAGAAATTGTTTTCTAATGAAAATTTTCGGGGTCCCAAGTATCGAAATGGGTCATTTCCTACTGATCAAGCCGACAATGGAGTTGAAGTGCAGAAATGCAAAGTGCAGATGAGTCACTTACGCCATTGCCAAGTGAGCTTGGTTTTTATTATCAGCCCACCTCCAACATAGTGAACTGATTTATGGTTTTTGCGGCTTTGTCATTTATGTGTTTTACATTTTTTTGTCGCAGTAGAGTGTTGACCCTCTGTTTCTGGGAATGAAACCTGTGAACATGGAGATGGAGCTTCATCAATGTTTAATCTACACAGTGTTGTGATTTCTGTGCTCTTCCGGTTCTAAGAGAGGCACGGGTGGACAGCATACTGATGGGGGAGTCGAGGTACGGTTCTATTTCCATCTTTTATTCTTATGTTTCCATAACAAAACGTCAAAACTTAACATTGTGTCTCGTCTCATTCATCTGTGGCTGTGACAGCTTTGAATGATATGCATGAAGTTGCACACTTACTGTGTGCCGTCAGTAATCCAAAAGGATTCCATGCTGTACTATTTCGTGTCATTTTGGATAATACAACATTTGCCCAACATGGACACTGACATTCTTATGAAGAGGAAAGGACTTTGACGAAAATTTAATTTAATATGTCGAATTTTAGTGATTGCTGATTGAGGGAATGATCCTACAATCCATTTGATATTCGAATTTTGCTGTGGATCTATGGAATTTGTTGTTCCTTGGTGGATACATAAGCATTTTTCCAATTTCTGTGCGTTTTACTACATGCACTTTCAGTGATCTAAATGTTTCTTCCTGCCCTATTATAGGATCTTTGCCATTATCATGCTCTCGATGGGATATGTTTATCTGATAGATTTTTGCTTTGGCCCCTTCTACAATTCTACATTTCACTGATGAATTATTTAGACACTATGGGTTCTAATTCCTGCTTACCAATAAGCTGACCGCTGTGTATTAGGATAGGATTACTCATTTTTAAAGTACTTATTGTTGGAAAAAAATAAATAAATTGAAGGGCTAACTTTTGCATAAATTTTGAGTAAGACCCATTTGTTTATTTTGGAAGACCACAATTGATTTGTGTTCTCCTCCGTGAGAACATTGAAATCATATATTTATTTGCCAAAAATGATGCTTGAGTGAGTGAAAAATTGGAGTTCAAAGTGATGAATTAGAAGAGATTTTGTGTACGCAAGGGAGGAAGATGACTAAATAAACTGGTGACGTATATAAATTGCTGCTTCATTTTTTGGTCTCAAATAACAAATTTAATACATTAACTTCCACGAATTAAATGATAAATTGGCCCTTTCCAGTATGAGAATAATCGTTTTAGCACTACGAGCAATTTTTTCGTTTGCGTCATTTTTTGGCTTCATTTGTACACAATTTCCAATAGGATTATTTGAGCATAGGCTCTTTTATGAAGGCCATGAAATTGTGCACATGACATATACTTCAATGCATTGGTTAGGTAGTTTTTGACCAAGAAAGTTGTTGCTGATCGCCAAAATTTGACTTCAACAACCTAATATTCAATCTTTCTTTTTTTTTTTTTTTCAAGAATGTGACAGAATTGTTTGAATTGCCACATTAGGTATGCACTGGTAATCGTGCATTCTGCCCACTACTAGGCAGATTTTGACGCCATTCCCACTAATTTTATAATTATTCGACACTGACTTGTTTTCACATATGCACATGTAATCCTAGATGATAAAATTCTGACAAAAAATTGTGCCCCCATCTCCATCTGTGACACTATAAAATTCAGCAAGATTTTACCCTAAAGCATCTTGAAATTTTTCGTTCTTACTTTCCATTCAACTCTTTTGTTACTACTAGGCCCCACACATTTGTATGTATATGCATGCTCCTCTTCTTCCTTCACGGGAAATTGCTGTAGATATATAGTGGATACAGCCCCACCACAAATTATCACTATATATCATTCTGAGCCAAGAAAAAGCGTCCAAAAGCAAAAGAAAATGAATGGTTATTCCAAAACCAGATACTCGAACACCATAGATTCGTCATCTCTTCTTTCTTCCCCTCAAGAAATCCACAAACCCAATCTCAACACTAGCCCAAATCACAGTTTGGAATCAGGGATTAAAACCCATGATTTCTCTTCAGATTTGGAGGATGAAAATGCCATTAGAAAGAAGTTTGGTGCATTGAAATTGAACAGAAACGGTTCAATTTCTTCATTCCAACTGGGCTCAAAAACAGAAAGTTTACAATCTGCAGTGAAAAGGGCTTTCTCATTGAGAAGATCTTCATCTATTTCAGAAAGATATTGCAGGATCCATGACCAGTATGTTGCACTAGCTTCTCCACTTGATGATGACCTTGAATCTGTCAGTAACAGTAAGAAAAAGAAAAACAGTGGTGGCAAGATCTTGAAGGCCTGTAAGCGCTTTTTTGGACTCTAGTTATAAGAGAGAGAGACGTGTCTTTTTTTTTTTTTACAATAATGAATGAATAATGAACTTGATTTTACTAGTACATCTCAATTTGTTTTAGAAACAGATTTTGAGGGTATTTTTGTCAGATTATTCTCTTTTCAGCATTGTTTTTCCTCAATTTAGTATTTCCATTTGGTCCAATAAAATGATAAGCCTGCTGCCATTCTCGCAATCGTAAAGGATGTTTAAGGAGCATTCAAGTTACACGTATTATATAGAGAAAATGGATTATAAAATTGGATACTTGAGAGAGAGAGAGACGTTTGTTGTTCCTCTAGCTTATTCACTGTATTTGTAGACTAAGAACATAGTACAAAGTAATGTTACGTAGCCCCATTAGGATTGCAACCACATTGACGTTAAATAGCATTACTTCACTTGTACATTATAGTTTACGCATAAGCATAAAAAGTAAACACAACTACTTGGGCAAAGTACATGTGCTTTGACTTATATTCTATATAAAGTAAATGTTAGGACACTAAAAAACCTTTGTTTTGTTCCATATAAAGTAATATACTACCATTTGAACCAACAGTGGAGAGAATTGATTTGATTAATCAAATAAATTAAATTACACCCCCATTGAATTCGAGTCCTAAACAGATCTGTCTGAACAAAACATTGTACAAGGAGCTTTATTGAAACATATTTGTAGCTCTCAAGCATATGCTCCTTCCGTTCAGTCACTGAATCATGCTTTGTATCTTTCTTTCTTGTTTCCATTAACATAAAGGTTAAAATAGAGCTCCAACTATAGAACTATATATGGTGCCAATATACGTCAACTACTCAGGTTCAGGCGCGACACTTCAGTCGGCACAACCCATACTCGTCTCGCCCTTACAACCATGCTGGGTTGGGATCAGATAGATATATGCGTCGTGGGCCAACTCACGCGACCATATATATTAAAAAAGAAAAAGAACCTAATCAAATTTATTCAAAAATATATTATTAAAAAAGAAAAAGAACCTAATCAAATTTATTCAAAAATAATTCAAGACGATGAACATCTGTCAAATTTAGAAAGGAAATATCAACTCCCCGTAGAAAAGCCCCACCTCAAATTTCGTAAAATAGTCTCCATTTTAGTCCCCTTTGAGCTGAACATCTGTCAAATTATGACACGATAAATCCATTTAAAATCAATCAAGGAGTGCATTTCAAACCTAAAGGAAAAATTGAACGCAAAATTTATAGCAAATTGTCATATGCAGCATCCCAAACTGTTCAAAATTACAATTAGACGCACCTGGGGGCTGATAGAATCCAGTTCGGCTTAGAAACCTATTTAAGCACTTTCAATCTCTGTCAATACCTAAATTTCCTCCACCCCTCAATGATTAACTCAAGACAAAAATATGCCTTATACATGATGGAAGGAAAAAAAATTGAAAGTCGGGACAATGACAAAGCTATGTATCGATTCCCATGCTACCTCACTTGCTGTCTGTGAAATCTGCATCAATGACGTCTCCTTCGGGTCCCTTGTCTGATGATTCCGAAGGGCCTGCTCCACCATCGGGAGCTGGGCTGGTACCAGGAGCTGCACCGGGTTGATTGTATAGGGACTGGCCAAGCTGCATCACTTCCTGATTCAGGGCTGTCATAGCATCCTTTATGGCTTGGGTTGAGTCTCCTAAGATGGCATCCTTAAGCTCTCCAAGTTTAGCCTCGACCTTCTCTTTGACGGGGGCAGGAACTTTATCCCCAAGTTCCTTCAACTGTTTCTCTGTCTGGTAAACAACAGAATCGGCTTGATTCTTGGTGTCTATGGCATCTCTCTTCTCCTTGTCTTCCTTGGCAAACTTTTCAGCTTCTTTGACCATTTTCTCTACCTGCAAAATTACAAATTCAACATAAATCAAATGCAAATGGTCTTTCTGTAACAAAATCAAACCCCCTTTAACAAACAGTGTATACTATAAGTGCACCCTCATATGGTGGCAGCTTCCTCAATATAGTCATCCACTAACTACTGCAAAGGAGCCATATATTTCATGGGAAAATGATCTAATTAAATCTCAAATTATTAGCCCATAACCGCTCAGTACCCAAAGGTTGGTTAACATATCATCAAAAAATCATACCTCATCGCTAGGCAATGTACTAGCACCAGTAATGGTGATATCTTGCTTCTTTCCAGTTCCTTTGTCAACTGCAGCAACTGAAAGGATGCCATTAGCATCAATGTCAAATTTGACTTCAATTTGAGGAACTCCACGTGGGGCAGGTGGAATCCCGTCGAGTCGGAAGCTGCCCAAAGACTTGTTGTCCCTAACAAATTCTCTCTCGCCTTGAAGGACATTAATTTCCACACTTGTCTGACCATCAGCAGCCGTAGAGAACACTTCTGATTTTGAAGTGGGCAATGTTGTATTTCTTGGAATAATCTTTGTCATCACACCTCCAAGAGTTTCCAGCCCCAAAGACAATGGCGTCACATCTAGAAGGACAATATCACTGACATCTCCAGCCAAAACACCAGCCTAAGCAAATAAGGTAGATAAGCATTAAAAAAAAAGTGACCTATAAAAACCATAGGTGTTCAATAAAGCTAGAAGTGGGAATATAGGGAACCTGGACAGCAGCTCCAAGGGCCACAACTTCATCAGGATTGACTGTAACGTTGGGGTCTTTTCCAGTCAGTTTCTTAACAAGTTCCTGAACAGCTGGAATACGGGTCGAACCACCAACTAGGATGACCTCATCTATATCACTAAAAGAAAGTTTTGCATCCCTCAAGGAATTTTGGACTGGTGTTTTCAACCTTCAAAAGAAAGATAAGACCTTTGAGTCTCTAACATGAGCTTTCAATAAAAAGGAGAGAATAACTTAAAAAGTTGATAACTGTCTTAAAAGATGCTTTCAACTCCCAATACCTGTCAAGCAAATCAGAGCATAATTCCTCGAATTTAGCTCGGGTAAGAGTGGCTTCGATATGTTTGGGGCCATCTGCTGTCGCAGTAATGAAAGGCAAGCTAGGCAATAGAAAGAAGACTAATCAGTATAAATGCAAGCACAAAATTCCAAAAGCAGTTGTAAAACTACAAACATACCTAATATTAGTCTGCGTTAACGATGATAGTTCCATTTTAGCTTTCTCTGCTGTCTCGGTCAGACGTTGAAGAGCTTGTTTGTCCTTCAAAAGATCAATTCCTTCATCTTTCTTGAAATTTGTAGCAAGCCAATCAACAATTCTCTGGATGATAGTACATACATGTGAAGGAATAGAACAATCGGAAAATCTCGTAAGAAACATGAATGAAAAGGTAAGTTATAACTCCAGTAAGTAACAAGTTATTTTGAAAAATCTGCAAAAGGAATACAGACCTTATCGAAGTCATCACCACCAAGATGTGTATCTCCAGAAGTAGACAGCACCTCAAACACACCATCACCAACCTCAAGAACTACAATAACAGGAATAAAGATAAAGCATTAAAACTTCAGCAGCACAAAATGAAATGCTTTTAAATCTAAAATTGTTTAAAAATATTAAATCGACAATCAAGTTGTACATTACAGCATATGAGAAAATATATACACTAAGGTCCAAAAAGGCAGTAACTGTTAATTAGTGCAAAGGTTCAGGAAACACTTGGTACAAAGGTTCCAAAACTATAGCATACTTGTACTATTTAAGGGAGTACCAGAATAGTGTAAATCAGCAAAGGCAGTCTTCATACCTGAAACATCAAATGTTCCACCTCCGAGGTCAAAAACCAGAATGGTCTCATTACTTTTTCTTTCAAAACCATAAGCCAATGACGCAGCGGTGGGTTCATTTATAATCCGGAGAACTTCTAAACCAGCAATACGGCCAGCATCCTTGGTCGCAGTCCTCTGAGAATCATTAAAGTAAGCAGGAACTGTGACGACAGCTTTAGTAACCTTGTCGTTCAAGAACTTTGATGCATCATCCACGAGCTTTCTCAAAACCTATAGGAGGAAGATAAAAGAATCATTAGATGAACTTCATACGATGTGGACGACAATCAAAAACATGCAAGAAGATCGTCCCTGAAGAACCACCTTTCTACAAAATAAAATAAAACTGTAATAAATCACCTTATCAATTAAGTACGAACAAACATATAAATCAGATGCAATATGCCTCAGTTTTTGTATGCACCACTAGATGCAAAAAACTACGGAGTTGAGAAGTAAGCCTGGAAGGTGCAGTGATAATTGATTTTAGAGAAGGACCTCTTAAAAAGGTAAAATAATATGCCCATCATATATTTCCTTCTATTTAAGACTAATATCCAGTCTACAAGCATACACTTTCGTGCTTGTATATTTTTCATATCATAGTAAGCAGATATGTCGACCACGGTCCACAGAGAATCCTGTTAAAGGTCTCAGAAACAGAACTGGCCAGTTAACTTCTCAATTGAGACCTATTACTATCGCTACAGCCACTGTGGCAGGTCAAGATCAAGGGCACTCACAATCTACTAGGAAGCAGTGCAGTTTCTCAAATACCAACATCATATAGCCCCTTCTCATTTTTTATTTTATATATTGTAATGTAAATTTGTGTTTATAAATTCCAGCGTGCAGGCTATGCATACAGCTGTACAAAACCAAAAAATAATTCCGGACATGCCAGCTTGGGTTTCTAACACGTGTCGATGACTTGTCGGTGTATCTCAAAAATCTGATTTAATTTTAAGGTAAAACCGTATTAAGTGCAATTCATTGTTGCAGATGTAATGTGAAATAAAAATTTTATTGCACTTAAATCCTTATCAACTCCTTGATCATCCACTTCAATGAACAAACTAACGTTCATCACCTATACAGTAATGCTATTTGTACATAATTGCGTACACATTGATGACGTGGAAGGGAGAGAAAGGGAAAAAAAAAGAAAAGGAAAAAGGGGAAAGAGAGAGAAAAAAAAGGAAAGAGAAGAGAAGAGAAGGAAGACAGTTAATATAATCTACATCATGAATCTGTACTCAATTATGTGCAAATAGCATTACTCTCACCTATTTATCCAATTCCAATTTTCTGTTTTAAACAAAGAACATGCACATCATTTATGCAAAACCCTTCAACTTTTCAGATTAACAGCAGTTCATGCATAAACTGATACACAAAGCTCACATAACAAAACAACAACGCTGTTACTTTCCAATTAGTAACTCAAAAACTAAAACAGACATACATACCCCTGAAAAAATAAAAAATGATGAATCTGTTAAAAATCCACCTTAATTGAATCTGAAAATGGTAAATTGCAAGAAAAAAACGCAGAATTCAAACCATTAGAGGGACCAGAAAACCATACAGGAACATTAATTACATGAAATGAATAGTTAAAGCTGAATCGATTAGTAAATTGCAATTTAAAACACATATACCTGAGCAGATATTTCCTCAGCTGCAAATTGTTTCCCAATGGCAGGGCACTCAAGCTTAACGTTCCCATTCTCGTCCCTGACCACAGTGTACGAAACCTGCTTGGACTCCTCATCCACCTCCGACATTTTTCTACCGATAAACCTCTTGACAGAGAAGAAGGTATTCTCGGGGTTCACCACAGCCTGCCTCTTTGCAATTTGCCCCACCAGTCTATCGCCACTCTTAGTATAAGCAACTACAGACGGCGTGGTCCTCTGCCCCTCAGCATTAGTCACAATGGTCGGCTTCCCTCCCTCCATTGCCGCAACTGCAGAATTCGTAGTTCCAAGGTCAATTCCCACAACTTTTTCCGCGACAACACGGAACGGACTCACACCAGGGTTTCGACGGGAACTGCTTCTGACCCTATTCTTCATTTTGAGTCCAAACGATACCGTATTATTCAGCCTTCTTCCCAAGAATACCGTTTTAGTCGGATTTCTACTAGTTGCACTTGAGGTAGCAAAGTGAGTGGTGGCACCCAAAGCATGAATTTGAGCAGTTGAGGCTGCCATTTCCGTCTTTCTACTCTATCAAATCCTATATCCGTGTCAGTATGCGTAGACAGAGAAATGTAGAAGAGCAAGAGTAGGAAATGGAAACCCTAACTAGTACCCTTCAACTTGGTATTGCGAGAAGAAGATAAGGAGGGGTTTATTGTGTCGTGTAGAACGTAGAGTGAGGGGCAGGTGAGAACACGTGGACAGTTATATAAGCATTGATTTCATTTGTGATGGGGATTATTAGCCGTTAGATTGGATATTTATGGGCCTAATGGAATTGATTAGCGAGAAATGAGTCAGTGATTCCCAATCTGAAATTCTATGGGTCGGATCCAGACCCGCTCATACTAGTTATTAAGAGCATGTTTGACTAAGATTAAAGTCCAATTAAAATTGAAAATATATCCATTATTGGGTCTCACTCGTCTAATAAAAGACAACAATAACAGCTAGTTTTTCAATTTTAATCCGATTTTAATCTTAGTCAAACATGCTTTAAGTCCTATTTGGTGTAGCAATGAAGTTCCCAGTAGAGTCGAGAGTGGTACCACTGCGTGAAATACTTCAACGGAAGGAGCCACTTCTGCTGCCTCCTTGAGGTTATGAATCACGATTCCTTCTTCGTAGCTTCCCAAGTATCCCTTATGAGTCATGACGACGACCATGTTTGAACCAAGGGACCAATGGAGAGATACACTACTTAGCTCTCCCCTGCAAGCTGCAAGGAGAACTTGTACCAGATCAAACTCCAAACGGGCCATCAATACTTGTACATATACGAGAGAAGGCAATAATCAAGAAGTAATTATAGTAATAATAATCGTCGTTCTATAAGAAGTATATGCAATACTTCTCAGACAAGCATACCCGTTTCAGTCAACTCGGGTTCTTAAACATTCCTGTAAATGCACTCAATAGAGCAGTAAACCTTACTATCACCTAGGATAGTGTATGTTACGTCAACGTCACGGTACGACGTTAAATGATGCTAATTGAAGGGAATTTGTGGCACAATGATGCAAGTGACCCAATGGGTTGAAATCTTGAAGGCCCAGTTAGCTAAATAATTTGTTTATTACTTGGTGCAAAAGTGTGTTTACTGGAATGCTTGAAACCGTGTTACAACTTACCTGATTTTGGACGTCCAGGATGTCGCCATGTGTCTCCTCTACAGTGTTGGATTGGTGGTCATTAGGTGACCCAATTAAAGGGCTTCTAGGGTTGGATCACTATACACTTAAGGGGCTCTCTCCTGATTATTGAAGCTCCTAAGCGACATGGCCTATATATTTTACAAACTATTGGATTGGTGGTCATTAGGTGACCCATTTAAAGGGCTTCTAGGGTTGGATCACTATACACTTAAGGGGCTCTCACCTGATTATTGAAGCTCCTAAGAGACATGGCCTATATATTTTACAAACTGAATTTTTTTTGGATTCCACTTCAGCAGTAATCTCGCTCCCAAATGAAAATCATGAATATAGCACAAAAGATTGTGCCATATTAGTGATAAAGGTCTCAAATTTTGAAAAAACAGGATGTCTTTGGTAAAAATAACATTGAAAAACTAAGGGGTTGTTCTCTTTGTGTTTCCGTTTTGTGTTTTGAGTTTTGAATTCACTTTGTATTTTGTGTTTTGAGTGTCTGTTTTGAAATTTTTGAAAATGTATTCTTTTTACCATTCTGAAAAACTGTTTCTGAAAACATAAAAATGGAAAACGCGTTTACTTTGAGATTTTGAGAATTTTTTTTTAATAAAATGTTATTCAAGAAATCTGATTATTCAATAAGTTTTAATAGTTTACTGTTAGTATGGTATTAAATAATATATAAATTTTGAAGTTGGTGAATTTTGAAATATTTTTTTTCCAAATATAAAAAACATAACCTAAATTAAATTTAGTAAATCCTTATTTTTGTTCTTGTACGTAACTTGTGACAATTTTATCGAGTTCATGTTAGTTCATAATTCTTGTCAAATACAATTTTGATCGTCTAAATACGATAACTATCATAAGTGATAATAAATAACATTACTCCTTGATTATAACAACAAACAAAATAGAAAAATAATTCTTCTACCACTTTTTCACTTGTATTTTAAGAATCAATTTTCTTCTTAGACAAATATATAACGAGGAAATAATATCATTACCTAAAAAAATAATCAAAATGATATCATATACATGAAGGAAATAATATTTGTTATATCAGAAATCTGTTTTAACAACTACACTAGATACATCTGTAATTTCAAATGACGTTTCTGCATGTTCATACTACAGCCAATCCTTTGCAAAGAACATAAAATTGAAACACAAATTGAAGATTTCAGAAGCTCGTGAAGAAAGGTTCATCAAACTGAAGCAAACAGCTTCAAGTGCTCAGTACAAAGAACATAATTGTCGATGACATACTACATATCACATGTTGATGGTTGCTTCCGAATTAAAGGAAGTATTTTCATGCCTGGATACTTCTGATCCAGATTATAAGATCACTCTAACAATGGGCAAGTGGAGACAAGTGGAAACTCTCTGCGCATACTTGAAGATTTTCTATGAGGCGGCCAACATTCTAACAACCCCTTTATGTCTGACCGCGAATGCATTATTCCATGAACTGTGGAAAATTCTGTTAAAACTGATACATGCTGCTATGAGCCCGGATCTCTTTGTCAGCAGCCTTACCAGATCATTGCACGAGAAATTCACTAGATATTGGGAGGACTGTAACCTAGTGTTGGCAGTTACTGTAGTTATGGACCCGAGGTTCAAAATGAAGCTCGTGGAATTCAGCTTTCCCAGAATCTATGGTGAGGACACATCAGTTTTGAATCTTGAGGCAAGATTGAAAGACTTAAAGTTGTATTATAAATATTGAATATAATCAAGAACATAAATAAGGAATGAAAACAAGTAAACTGATGTGAGGCTTTATTCTATTCAAAAACGTCATTAGTCAGCATTGAGGCTAAGGAATGAACATAAATTTTCAAATCTTAATTCGCATATGATGTGATGTATCATTCTCTTGGGGNCATATCACATGTTGATGGTTGCTTCCGAATTAAAGGAAGTATTTTCATGCCTGGATACTTCTGATCCAGATTATAAGATCACTCTAACAATGGGCAAGTGGAGACAAGTGGAAACTCTCTGCGCATACTTGAAGATTTTCTATGAGGCGGCCAACATTCTAACAACCCCTTTATGTCTGACCGCGAATGCATTATTCCATGAACTGTGGAAAATTCAGTTAAAACTGATACATGCTGCTATAAGCCCGGATCTCTTTGTCAGCAGCCTTACCAGATCATTGCACGAGAAATTCACTAGATATTGGGAGGACTGTAACCTAGTGTTGGCAGTTACTGTAGTTATGGACCCGAGGTTCAAAATGAAGCTCGTGGAATTCAGCTTTCCCAGAATCTATGGTGAGGACACATCAGTTTTGAATCTTGAGGCAAGATTGCAAGACTTAAAGCTGTATTATAAATATTAAATATAAATCAAGCCTTCATTTGCTATATCTGTGTCCATCAGATGTTGCCATTGTGAAGATGGACACACCCTTCCCT